TTCGGGGAGGATTTTTCTGTTTTTCGATTCGACAATTTCGCGGTCGGCGACGAAAAGGGAGCCCCCCTTATTAGGCTTCCTTTTCATCTTTTCACCGGTGCTTGGAGGGTGTGGCTGGTTCCATCGGAATGGGGGGGGGGGGGGGGTGGACACGCCCCGAGGATGGTTTGGTCGACGAGGAGGATGCTGGTGTAAGCCTCGAGGTAGACGCGCGAGGCTTTCTTGACGACTTCGAGACCCTTGACGGTGATGTCGGTCTCATCGGAGAGTCCGAGGCCCACGAGGTAGAGCATGGTGGGCTGAGGTGATGCTGTACGGAGTGGTTCGAGATCGAGGTTTGATTCTCAAAGTCACACAGCTGGGTCTGGCGTAAAAGTTTTGGCGGGGTAAAAGTGAATAAGTCATGGAGGGGTGATTCTGGTGGAGGTGGCCCATCATCAACCCCTGTCTAGGTACCTAGGTACCTGGGTAACTACCTGGCCAACCCTGTCGATTTCATGTCATGAGGGACGAACAATCATGCAACACCAATTCATTTACGGAGTATTTGCGATATCCTAATCAAGCATCCCGAGCTTGCCTTTTGCAGTTTCTCACGATACCGAAAAGAAGACAATCTATCACTCCACCACCCAACGATCAGAGCAAGGTGTACTTCTCCGTCTTGAAGGTGCCATCATTGACATCGTCCACCGTCTTCTGATGCGCCATCGATTCCTCTGGAGTGAAATGCAAGAAACACCCGCTGATCAGCTCAAACTTGTCGCCAACCGCCCTGTTGATGAGCACTGACTCGGCTGTGCAACCCTTGAACGAAATCAAAAGGTCCCCCGGCCGAGCATCGCACACCCTCTCTGCATATCCGATGACTGCCCCCCTCGTGACGAAGAGGCGCGCATCGGCAAGGAACCTCACAAGCTTCAGCGAATACTTGTTCCAGAACTTCCGGTCCTCCTCGGGCACGTGTCCAGCCATGATCTTGTCATGCAAGTCTGCGAGGTCCTCCTTGGTGAAGTCCGTCTTGGCGCCGCCCGTGAAGCACCAAAAGAATGACTCGATGAACTCGCGTCGACGCTCTTCGGGCGTTTGACCAGGGCGCATCAGACTCACGCAGAGGTTCTCGGCCTTGGCAAAGACGCCCTTGAGCACCTCGTAGATCTCGTCGTCGCCGATGGAATCTTTGGGGTTCTTCGGCATGTCGGTGTGTTCCTGACAGAGGATGATGACGTCAACAAGGTGGCCTTTGATTGTCAGGAAGTTGAGATCATCAGAGAAGGCGAGATCGTCAGAGTTGGGATCGAGGCGCGCTTTAGCAGGGGGCCGTGGAAGAAAGTCGAGGGAGCGGTTCATCCATTGTCCGGCCCAGATGTGTGTCCAGTTGACTGTCCAGGACGGGAGACCTTCGTCCCTGCTCCAGTGATCGCACATGCGGAGAAAGTTGAGGTTCAAGGACTGCAAGATGGAGTCTTTGGCGATTTCCTTGTACAGTCGCACGACATGTTTGCGGTAGTCGACATCGACGGGCATGCTGTCCTTGCCGCAAATGCCCATGAGCGAGTACACCATGTCGCGGGGATCAGTGGCTTCTCGGCCCCTGGTCGTCTGCAAGAGTTCGAGCAAATCGTTGGAAAAGTCGCCGGCTACCGACTTTTCACGACAAAACTCCATGGCACGGATGCCAAAGAGGTCCCAGATACGACGGGTCCCGCCGAACAAGAGGTTCGCCCTCGGGTCTTGCCCGAAACACCGCATCCCCTCGGCCGCCTCGGAGAGCGAGTTCCAGTCAATCTCGTGGGTGGCACACTTGACGGTGATCTCTCGAGAAAGAGATATCTCCTGGATGACCCACTGGCGACGAAAGTAGGATCGGTCGCTCAGCTTCGTCAGCGAGAAGAGTGCGTACTCAGAGTGCCGTTTGATGACGTCCGGGTACTTGGCCGACCCCTCCTTGCCAATCTCCAGAGCGAGGGCAAAGGCACCGGCGACATCGAGAGCCTGTGTGCCGATGCCGTCCTCCTCCTCGTTCTCCATGCCGATCCAAGCGACAACCCGCGTGCCCTGTTTGTAGATGTTCCCCATCAACCTGACCTGTGCATTCTTCTCAATGACATTCCGCTGGTCGATACAGATGGAATCGATCCAGACAGTTCTCGCCCTGTCAGGGTACCTCAGGTGCTTCAGCGCAGTCTCGACATTGGACGTCACGAGGAACCGGTCGTCATTCACCACCAGCGGCTGGGTGAAGCTTGCACCCTTCCACGTGTACGAAAGAGTCTCAAACTCGCCGGACCTGTCGATAAAGTACCGCTCCAACGTGCATTGCAACTCGTCGGCAAAGGCGCCAGGGAGAATGGTCAGCAAGCGAATGGCGTGGAGACCCTGAATCCTGGGAAGTGCCTCGAGTGTTTCGACATAATTCGTCGTCTTGAACCCGTCAAGAACGGGGATGCCGTTGAACTTGGGAAGGGGTACCAGTGGCGTCGCCATACAGCCGCTTGCTCTAGGCTAGTTGAAGTGGGAGATTCGTGTGTCAAGACTCCGTTGCTGGTCGTTGCGTTGTGTGCCCAAAGGCAATGGTGGTAAGGCTGACGGTGGAAGCTTGGCTGCTCCCGCTGGCATGTGCAACCTGGTTGTGACACGACTTTAAGTAGACCATCCCTCAGTATATTCAACAAGCATCCTTGCGGCACAGCGCTCCAGGCGGCCAATGATGTGCAAAGTGCTTCAGGACGGCGGCATGGCGTGGTGGTTGATCTCTCACTGCAGCAGACCCCCTCGGACGAAGATGGGGCGGGGGTTGCAGACAGCTGGCGAGCAGGCCAGCAGGGGGGGTAGGACACCGAGCTTCCATTGGGATATGGTTCGTTGTGGCGCAATCCTTCGATGTGCTGCTGCAATGACTTGTTGTCCAGAGAATTTATCGTCTTTGACAAGATCATAGTGAGAGGCTGCGATCATTGGCTTGGTGAACAAATGTATTTTTGCACGCGATGCACGGGAGCATGTCTTGCCCAAGGTACCTAGGTACGTACGGTACCCCGCGATATATGTAGGCAGAAAAAGTAGGAGTTTACCGGATTCATCCGCCCAGTGGGGGGGGCAGTAGTAAGTACAGCACCTAGCACCCAAATCGGGTGGCATCCCTGTCAACATTCTCGTTCTGATGGAGCAAGCTTCCGGAAACTTGCAACAAAGGTAGTAGTCGGAGCTCAACTCTTACATCACCACCATTCACACCAAGACGAGATCCGCCACCAACCTCGCGAGTCTGCCGAAACATTGATCAAACACGCGCGAGCCAAGTCCTCTCCCCTCTCGAAAACACCACCACCATGGCCGACAAGAAGGGCAGCGCCTATGGCGCGCCGGCCGGCGACACGGACTTTCGCAAAACCTGGGACCTCGACGAATACGCCGCCAAGGCCAAGGCGCGCGAGGCGGAGGAACGCGAGGAGGCGAAAGCGCGCTACGAGGCCAAGCTCGCCGGCAAAAAGTACTACAAGCCGCTGACGGGCAACGAGACGATGACGACGGCGCGGCAGGCGGGGCTCGACCTCTCGTCGCAGGTGGGCAAGACGCAGCTCGTGGCGGCTGGCGCAGGCGTCGGCAAGAGGGGGCGGAGCGCGGGGTTCTACTGCGAGGCGTGCGACCTGACGTTCAAGGACAACAAGCAGTTTGTCGAGCACATGAACACGCCGCAGCACCTGGCGGCGACGGGACAGAAGATGGAGGTGGAGAGGGCGTCGCCCGAGGAAGTCAAGGCGAGGATCCAGTACTGGTGGGATCAGAAGGAGGAGCTTGTCAAGCAGCAGGCGACAGGTCTGCACGAGCGGTTGGAGCTGCGGCGGGCAGAGGACGAGAGGGAGGCCGAAGAGAAGAGGCGCAAGAGGAAGGAGGCCGACGAAAGGAGGCGGAAGGAGAGGGAAGAAGCGGAGAAGGTGAAAACAGAGTATGGGGACGATGTGAGGATTGAGGGCGAGCATGAGGAGGACGACATGATGGCTGCCATGGGCTTTGCCGGGTTTGGGACGTCGAAGAAGTGAGTCGCGTGTTGCCCATGGCGAGGCTAAATGATACCCTAGAAATGAACAACGAGGTCAAAAATTGTACCTATTCGTTGCAACTCCCTCGAGGCGGCAGAGCTGCGCGGTGCAATGGCACAAAACATCGCGACGACATCCAACTGGAAAGCCGACTCGAATCTGGTCCATGCTCACCGAGTCGGTCAAAACAGTCGGTGAAGAACGGACCCCCGCCATCCCATCGGCAACGACCAAGAACGCTGTGGGTCGGTCTGCTGCTTGACCACACCAGACCAGACCAGTTCCAAACCCCCACCATGACCAGCTGATCGACATTGGCCCTGACCGCGACACGACAAACGATTGTTGCAAACGCCGGGTCCTTTGCACGCAGATACTCGTAGCGTCGTTCGCCAGCCACATTTTCTCGGCCAATTCGTCTGCGGTCCTTGAGTCTGTCTCTACATCAACTGGCTTCTCTACCCCGCGTCCAGCCTCTCTCCTCTCTCCTTGTCCGCTCCTAGGAGCGCCTTCAATCACCCATCATGGCCTCTCCCTCAGGATCCTCCCTCCTCCTCGCCCGCTACTACAAAGACATGACCAAAGGCCAGGCCGCGAAGGACCTTCCTGGCGTCTCCGTCGGTCTCGTCAATAGCAACGTCTTCGAGTGGGAGGTCATGCTCATGATCAATGACGATTGCAAGTACTATGGTGGTCAGTACAATGTCTTGCCCGCCCACGCCTGGCGATATTGCAAAGCTGATGAATACTGCCAGGCGGCTTCTTCCGCGCCCGTCTCATCTTCCCGCCAAACTTTCCCGACATGCCGCCCTCCATGACGTTCCAGAACCCGATCCCCTTCCACCCCAACATCTACCCCGACGGCAAGCTGTGCATCTCGATCCTGCACCCGCCAGGCGAGGATGAGTTTGCGTACGAGGAGGCATCCGAGAGGTGGAGCTCCGTCCGCAGCCCCGAGAGCATCCTCGTCAGCGTCCTGAGTCTGTTCCATAGCCCGAATACCGAGTCGCCCGCCAATGTCGAGGCCGGGAGGTTGCTGCGAGAGGACACCAAGGAGTTCAGGAAACGGGTGCGCGTTTGCGTGAGGCAGAGTCAGGAGGAAAGTTTTTAAAGGTGCAACACGGCTCCATTCGCGTACGGCGACCTTTTGAAGATACCCAGGCGTTAGCGAGTACCGTGGATTGGGGGGGAGCACATATTTTTGGCGGCAATGCCACAAAAGTCACGGAATCAGACACTCTCGACCCAATTCGCAGGTTCATCATTTGTTCATCCCCAAATTTTCTGACTGCTTCAGGAGTTTATTCCAATCTTGTCTACTTATAATACCTCCAGTGGCAATCTCGCACCCCAAACCAGATCTATCCGAAACGATCCCTCGCCGGCAAAATGCTACAACCCCATTCCCGTCCAGTTTAAATCGCTTGCTTCGATTCCTCCGAGTCAACTAGAGAGACAAGAGGGCGCACGTGCTTGACCTGGTCAAGAGTTGAGGGGCTCACGTGCTTGGCTTGGTCAATGGTTGGCGACCACTCGGCATCTGCATCACTTGCGCTCCGGTCCTTCAACGAACTCGCCCTGACAAAGGAGGACGTGAGAAGCTCAACTGGAGGTATGCAGGTGTGCGGCAACTTAGAGTCGACTTTGCGCAGATGTCTTCGGAGGGCTTTGGTCTTTTCCGGCATATCGCTAGGCTCGTCGTCGGAGTCGATCGCCTTTTCAGCTAGCTCTTCGATGAGAGTATCCTTCTTGGTCAGCTCAGTCAGAGCGGTGCGGTGCAGCTCTGCATCCTCCACCTTTTGCTTCCGGATGTATTCGTGCGCCACCCTAAGGTCCTTCCGGGCGTCGGCCAGCGCCGCCCGCGTCGAGGCCAATTCGCCTTCGAATTGACAGACCATGCGCCCAGCCTCTTCGTGGTGGGCGAGCAGTTCATCCTTGGCAGTCTGCAGGTCCCAGGAGATCTCCTTCTTCTCGACGCACTTGTCGTCGTAGTCCTTGCGGATCATGGCAGCCAGATTCTCGGCCTTGAGGCACCGCGCCTTGACCTCGTCGGTTTCCGCGACAGCAGCGAGACGCGCGACCTCGGCCATGTTGGTCTGGAGCCGGGCGTCCTCGTGCGCCCCGCGCTCGCGCTGGAGAGCCGCCATGACCTCCTCGAACGCGTGGCGCTCTTCCTTGAGCTGCTTTTGCGTCTCCTCGATGACCTGGCGCTTCTCCGTGAAAAAATCAGCCGACCGCTCTACGAAGCAGGAAAATTTGCTCTGCTGGACCTCCTCGATTTCCGCCATCCGCTCCTCCACTTCCGCAGCCTGGTCATCGAAGCGCTGCCGGAGGAGCTCGTACCGGTCGTTGGAGACGCTGAGCTCACGGTTGGCGAGTCGCAGCTGTTTGGTGAGCTGCTCGATGAGGAGCTGGGTGCGGCTGGTCTTTGCGCCGTCGTCAGCAGCAAAGGGGTCCGGGACACGGCCGCCGAGCTGGGCGTTCTCTTTGAGGGCACTGAGAAGCGACCGAACCAGCTGCGCCGTGAGCGCGTCTTCGCTGCGGCCGTCGACGTTGAGGAGGGTCTCGTCGATCTGGCGCGTGTAGTAATCAAAATGTGCCTCCTTCTGAGCAAGGGCAGCGGCATGCTCAACATGGGCGGCGCGAAGAGCTACCTCCGTTGTCTTGAGAATCTCAGTAAGGGCAGCGATCTCTTTAGTGGCTGCAACGTCGCGGGCCTGGGTGCCGAGAATGTACTGACGAAGCAGGGTATCCGACATGCCGCTTGGCTTGAGTCCGGGGGGAGTCTTGGGGGCTGCGAAGAGACGGTTTAGGCTCTCTCTACTTGGGAACACAGCGGGCCCAGGGAAAGGGGCGCCAGACGCATTGGCAGGTTCGCGCTTCTTCTCGGGCATGGACATGTGCTGGTTAGCCGTGGCGTTGGGCTCAAATACACTGGCCTTTGCAGCGCCATCGCGCACGGCGCTTGGGGCAAGAATCTGTTCCGCATTCAATACGGGGATGGGTTGCATCAACAAGTCACTTGACTTGCTGGTTCCTCCAGGCACACTGCCATCCACGTCAGCGGAAGGGCCCGCGCGACGGAACAAGGCTGCCCACTCTTCGTTCTGCAAGTTGCGAGCTCTAACCATGGAGTCTCCGATGCTGCGGGAATGGTG